ATAACTCACGGTCCAACGCTCGTTTATATTTAAAGTATAAACATCGAATGATTACTTATATACGTTTCCTTTCCAATTAGGTGCAAGTATGTTAGGTACAATTGAACATTCAAATCCTTAAATAATTTACTTAAAATTACAATAAACATTAAACACGATGGACGGGTGTAACTTGTCGAGATAAAATAAAAAGTTTTGAACGAAGAAAAGCGTAAGGAAAAAAGGAAACAAAAAAACAACAAAACAAAAAAAAAATAATTTTGTTACAATTTTTAATTCGCAGAAACCTAACAAACAATAATTTTTCATTTTCATCTCCTTAAAACATAGTAACATCTATGCAACACAAAAAGTAACTGGGGAAAAAATTAATAATAATAAAGTTATGAATAAAAATATTTTATACTCCTGAGAGTGAAGAAAGGTACAATTAGATTACGTCGAAAACTCGTGGCCAATCCCCAACACGCGATGTGCTAAGATGAGGTAGAACTTCAGTGAGATTATTAAAAGCTAACCTAATTAACACTTATAAACTATGCTTTTTAGGACCTCAACTCAGGTCAGAGGTAGATTTTGGTTGCTCTCGAAAATATTGCTAAATATTCTTCATTGAGCATGGACACTGAGTTGAAAGCACTGACTAACCTCCGGAGATTCAATTAAAATATTTTTTTTTCTATACTTTATGAATTTATGAACTGAACGCTAAACAACTTTATTTATTCAACAATCATTAGACAAAATTGTTTTGCTTAAGATATAGTCAAAACAATTTATTTAGTGCTCTATTAAAATCTGTTACAAATACATAATATTCAATAGATAAGTAAATAATTATGTGACGGCGTTATATATCTGTGTCGCTCGCTATATTTGAATCCTGAGGTAGCATTTTTGTACTTAATTTTTTATTTTTTCTCATTACACTTAATTCTAGCTTTCATTTTTGCTTCATATAAAAATCTATAACCTTATTACTAAACTATTCCTCGAGGTAGATTAACTTACATACTAAATAGATTGGGCAATAAACGTCATTCAATATGTTTAAATTGACTTAGTGTTTCGAATATGAGACTCGAATAAGTTGTTAAATTCAAATCTGACAATATGAATGTACAGTTACTGCGCAGTCCATGTGACGGCAGAGGGTCACCATACCCGTAAAAATCTTTGGCTTTACCATCACGATATATCGCGATTTATTTGCAATAAAATTAAACTTAAAAAAAATAAACACAAATCATGTAAACGTTAAATAAAGCCAAAATAACGTTACACAACAATAAAATAAAAAGTAGGTTCGAATATGAAATAAAATAATATAGTTAAGAATTATACGGAATCTACATTAAATTTTGAAATACCTTACTGACGCTTTTTAGAATGCCATTGACCTCAAATAAAAAGATACACTAGCAAAGATGACATTAACATATTATACATAAATTTATAAAAACAATCACTGGCCAAGTACGCCAAAGATTTGATGAGATCTACGCGATCTTGCGACGTACCGTTCACCAAACATTTCCTTATAGACATAGAACCACAAAGGTAGGGGATTGACCAGAGCCTAATTAGGGATTGCAATACATCGACTAAATGTGAAGTCTTATCACATCGAATACAACATTACTACTATAAAGGACATCCATTAACTCGCCTTCTTACATTAGTTATAACAATGCGACAGCTTAATTTAGACAACTTTATCCCAATGTTAGTAATCTGACCTTTGTACAATCATAACGACAATCCATTGAAAAAATTTGATTAAAAATCATATTACAGATAATAAAGAGGTTTTAATCTACAATATGTATAAAAATACTTGTCCGATCTATGATGGTGCTTTTAGGTATCCTAATATGATTCTGTTCATTTAATTCTTTTTAGAAAATTAATATTAGGTAGGAAAATTTTATTAAATAGGAAAACGTACATGACAATACATGCAGTGCGGGTGGCCGTCGGGTAACCAACACCGCCACATGTTCAAAGATACCGCAGCCGACAACGGTATTGCTAGATATTAAAAAATTGCTGAATTTTTAGCTAATTTTAATGATAAAATTTTATTTTAAATAACATTTTTTTATATTTATTAATAATAAGATGTTTCATTTTTTTATTATGTCATTGCGGTACCCTTGTGCAACTTTCGGATCAGACAGGGTGTCTTTTACATATTGTATGTTATCAAATAAATTTAGATCGCAAATCCAATATTGATGGCGCTCCCTTAGTGTCAACAATCTTAATTATCCTCTAATGCCCCTAAATTCACTTAAATGAAACAAATCGAAGAAAAGCTTAAAAAGTTGATGCATTAATGCAATTCTCTTTTACATATCACAAAAACATTAAATGTCAAAAAGAAATCACAACTATGAATTTTGAATTCATAACATAAAAAAAACGAAAGGATAAAACAGAACAAATCTTCTCATCCTATTATTTTTATAATTAATAATAATCGTTAACAATTTGAATACAAAATCATATTCACCTTAACAATAGTACGTCTGTCGGAAAAAAGGTTAGAGTGTAAATCAGTTTTACAACTTGATAAATTGATTGATTGTAAAACATTGTATTTTTTATAAAAAGAAGGCACTACAATTAAAAATGTTTTAACATAAAACATTACCAAAGGGTATTAAATGCGCTTTACTTAACCCAGGCCACTAGAATAGTAACAGTATTTGGATACCATGTGTTTAAATTAACTCTATTCTCTGATTAGCTCAAAGCATTACGGTAAAATTGTTTATCTTTCAACCATTCACCCAAACTGTTATAGTGTTCATAAACTAATGACTTGAAAATAATGCCACTTATTTGAACGCCATTTGTATGCAATCAAATTCAATGTGCGTTGAATTAATTAACGTTCTGAATAATCGGTGTTTAAAAAATATAGCTTGGGCATTTTTAATAAAACATATTGAACAAAACTGTGTAATTAAAATTTTGAAATTTTAATTATTAATTATATAAGTTTTATATTAAGACTTTCTTTTCGGTAAATCAAATTTAAATTGGCAATTAATATTGTATCTGTTTTTTTTTACTATTTAAGCCAAACATTCCAAGACGTGTCTACTTTATTTTGCTGACATTTACTAACACTAATATTTTTTACTCTTCCCTATTTTGGTATAAACAATTATAATTAATAACAAATGTTAACGTATACAAAATAGATTTAGAAAAAAATAGTTACAAAATATGAAGATATATTTATTGCAGTGTTATAAAATGCTTTATTATTGTAGTTATTTGCTTGATAAACAGTTAAAACTGCTAAGATTAATTCTTGTCGGAATAACGAAAAAAATTATATAGAGATAGCTTCTAACGGAAATATATTTCATGCTGTTCAAGATCCTTGTTGTAGCATTACATTTCTGACACTAAAAGGACGTCATTGATGCTCTACGAGAAAAGGTAACTGCTTGAAACAAAGTTCTAACATAAAAAATATGGAACCTAAGAAATAAAGAAATCACTGAGCCTTCATAAAGCAAATTCACGTAGTATAATAATAATAATAATAAACACAGTATCCTAAAATATAAAATGTTTATAAATATGAATGCAACTCATTCCTAAATATCAGGAATGTAACACACAGTTGCTACATTCACACTTAACAAAAAATAAATAAATAAAAGATGTGAACTTAATGAGGATATTTGGCACTGTCCCATTTGCTTCAAGTTAAACTTAGAAATTGCTATAGCTCGGATAGTACTGTTATGTTCAAAAGACGACAGCCGCTGGCATTCACTCAAATAATTATAATACAATAATACCAACGGGCGTCCCTATATTAAATAATTATTTACTCTTTTTAAATCTCAACTGGTTGCACTCGAAATGACTAGGTATGTAAAAGTAGTAAGTGGCCTTCGTCTAAATGCACTACGATAAAAAAAATATTAACGGAATGTTAAAATCGACACCATCACGTTGAAACATATAATTATTTGGTCTCAATAGTAACATTCGCGCAGGCGAGCCTGGTACGAACGACAGTAACGGATTGTAGAACATTCATGCCGCATAACTTACACACAAAATTTTATAACACTTTTTACCTAACTACTTATGTATCTAGGGCAAAATTGTACTTTGTACAAACTAAAACCGTTCGAATTTACTGTACAGTACAAAACTGTCGATTCTTCCCGCTTATATCAACCCTCACTACGTTTATTTCTTATGACAATGTGGCAAAAATCAAATTAAATATAGATCCAGTTCACTATTGTATCACAGATGCGTTAAAATATTAACTTAGACCCGTATACTACAAAGTACAAACTATTGTAGAGGTATATGCGTAAAGAATATAATATTGTAAATTAAAAATTATAGTCAAAACTTTGCCACAGAGTCGTAACAAACGTATGTCTCAACCTAGGCCAAGGCGATATACAATATTCTCCTATTATTTACATACACTTAGCCTATGACCATCAGTCTCAACATCATTTCTAAGATTTCCTAGCTCAGGTAATATAAAATAGCATGTCTTACTCGACCGAGAGCTCAAAATAAATCGTCTATAAAGGTAACTTTATCTCACAGTCAAATTAAGGTACATAATACGTCCGAGGTCCTAAAATAGGTACTATATTTTTTAAACACGGTACCGAGGTAATAAGAGACGAGCGATGAGCAACCGTTCGAAGTCACACGATAATACATCAAAAACAAAATTAAGTAACAATTATCGCACAAGTTCCGAAAATCTTAACAATTCTTAAGATCAAAATTCTGAGGTAGACTGTTTACATAATATGCATCAATGAGGTATATTATTGTACGAAAAATAGGGACTCGGCTAGGGTGACCATGTGAAATCAAAATCGAAGATATAACGGGACCATAATGAATCGATATTCTAATCCACGGTCACGAAAGCCGGTCGAAAATAGTAGAGGTAGTTCGGTTGATGAACAATTTGAACGGAGTAAATACTTTTCTTACTGCGTGTGATTTGGGAGTGGACCTTGTTGGTGGAGTTGAGTGACCGCGTGGCGATGCTCACGCGCAATATGGCGGCGCACAGTATTGTTGCGTGTGAATGTGCGCGTGCAGTGCGGGCACGGCACACGTATGCCTTGGTGCCGCTGTCGAATGTGGGCACGCAAGTTCGTCTCGTAGCCATAAAGCCGCTCGCAATATGGACATTTTAGTTTTTTACCTGAAATCATTAAATAAACGTGTGAGTAAAGTGATCTCTAAATTAGGTAAATTGTGTAGTATAGGATAGTAAAGTAACCTGAAAAATTTCTTGATTGAAAAAAATGGCTTATAAAAATGTTTCTATGTCATAAATTAACATATTTTACAAGTAGCGTACAGCAAGGGTTGAAGCAATATTACGCATTGCATGTAACTTGTTTAATTTATGTTAAATCAAATGTTATACTTATGTAATCTTTATATATAAAATTTACGTGTCACGTTGTTTGTCCGCGATGAACTCCTAAACTACTGAACTGATTTCAATGAAATGTTTCACAATGTGTGCAGTTTGGTCCAACTTGAGAGATAGGATAGTTTTTATCCCGATAAGTGACCCTCAATTTTTTTATTATGAATTTAATGTTTTTTTTAGGACACATGGTCGTCGGAAAGGGCAGAACAACGTCTGCCTATGTACGATATTTCAATCAACTTTTTACGAATGAAAGGATTAACACCTTAAATTAAATTGACTTAATCTTTACTCGATTGGTAGAACTACACTGTACAACCAGTGCGTGTTGCCAGTGATGACCTATGGAACTAAAACGTGGTCCTTCTCTGCTGGCTATATGAGGAAGCCCAAGGTAGCTCAGCGAGCTATGGAGAGGGCTATGCTCGGGGTTTCTCTGCATGATAAACTTAGAAATGAGGATATCCGCAGTAGGACCAGAGTTACCGACATAGCCCAAAGGATTAGTGAGCTGAAGTGGCAATGGGCTGGCCATATAGCTCGAAGAATCGACAACTGATGGGGAAAAAAGGTTCTCGAGTGGCCCCCTCGTTCCGGCGGACGAAGTGTAAGGCGTCCCCTCACTATATGGAGTGACGACGTGGTAAGCCATGCAGGAAGTCGATGAATGCAGGTGGCTCAAGACCGTGCTTTGTGGCATTCCTTGGGGGAGGCCTATGTCCAGCAGTGGACTTGTGAAGGGCTGTAATGATGATGATGATGATGATGATGAATCTCTACTCACCGTCAGCAGTGGCGATTCCTCCGGATTTACTGGTGATTATCTTAGCGGGCCAGATGTCCGGGCTTGGTTTTGGCGGCACGGGTGACGTCTCCAGCGGTTTGTCGTGGTAGTTTGTAGTCGGCATTGGTAGCGTTGGCGGTGGTGAGTTATTATATCCACTCTGGTAGTCGTTTTCACTCTTTATCCGTAAATCTGAAAATAAAGATACATACTGAATGTAAGAAACAAACTCTGGTTCTGATAAAGATTTAGTAATCCAGACCAGTAACAATATTCTTGTTAAAGTGAGTTACTTAAAGTGAAACCTCATCGTAAATTAATAAAAGTTGTCTTAGTTGAATATATTAAGTATAAGAGCCGCGTTATTTGGTCTTCCACTTTCGTGGAAAACCACCAAACAAAACCAAACATTATGGCACCATGTACCATAATGTTATAGCAGCCAAGTCCTGGCGTACAATACTTTTCAAAAACAAACGAACCTTCGGCTCCTTGGTCATTAGACAAGCGTTCCATCATATCGTCGTTGACGCTAGCACTCCGCTCATATCCGTTGTTCTTGACTGGGTTCGTATGGGTGGAGGTACAGTCGGCAGGAGCTTCTTCATATCGGGCATTAGCTCCGGGCGAAGAACGCGTGTCTGGCTCATCAGCCACGCTGCCGCAATGTGACGACGATGAACTCTGCCTGGAAATATAATTTTCTCTATTAAAACGTGGTAAAGCCGCGCTGCAGCTATTTTATGGCTGTAGCACGAATGGGTCGGCTCGACTGGGGTAGAACCACGCTCTCACTGTATACCAGCGTAGAATAGCAGCTTAATGCTGCTTTATTTCGTATGGTGAGTGTAGAGAACCGGAGACATTTTTGAATGGAAACTAGGCATACCATCGTAGTCCTCAGGGGTGGCAACGTATCTGCATTTTGATTCTTAAACGGGGATAAATGTAAATGTCTATCGGCCACAGCACCCACTTACCATCAGGTGGACTGTGTGCTCGTTTGTACTTGTAATAAGTACTCCCGTTCACCATTAACTAAGTTTAAAATGCTTGTGCTAGGAATGACCAAATAGTTGTCAATTGACGGATTCGAACCTAAGATTTTTTTAATATCCCAGTCCGTACCTTTTAAATAAGTGTGACGTACAAGCATAAGTTCCATGATAATGCTGTGATCCATGCACACTTAAATATACCCTCGATTAAGAAATAAATGTAAAAGTGGTGTCATCCCTGTAGATAGTAAAAACGGATCTATGATTTTCTTATCCATTGGCATTCTTTCGCTTGATTGTATTATCATAATATGTCTAGTTTTCATGTAACGTATTTTTTAGACTTTAATCAAGCATATATAAAGAAGCTAAGGTTAATATATGATATAATATGTGATTTACATGTCTCCGCATAGAAGACTGACGTATTACACCGTCAAAGATGTAACAAAATCATATGACAAAAGTCAGATCTTTAGGCTAGCTACCTAACTCTCATACTTTTAATATCTTATTTCACACTCAGCACAATTTGTAAGTTAAAAGTAAAAAAATAGGTATTTATGGTATGGATTTAAAAATTTAAAACGAATTTTAAATGCAATTCAAATGACAGTAACTCTTTGTGTAATAACGCATATAATTTGTGCTTGTACTTACTCTGAGCACCTACCTTTAGTAAAATATCACAGACTTTAAAAACAACGTCAAAGGTGCTAAAGTATCAGACATACTGCAATAAATAATCCACAGATTTTAGCTGACGGTAACGTACCTAAATCATAAGTACCGATAGATATAAGGGGAGTGTACAATAGTATCTCCACATGCCAACCGCTTTCACTTAACTCACCCTATTAATTAACGAACGAAGATCTGATGACAGATAAATGGTCGTGTATTATAAATACATACAGTGATACGTACAGCGTATTGATAACGCATTATGTTGCGGCGCTGAGGGTCTGGATGTTTTTCTTTGTACAATTTATGAATGTAAAACATCTCCACGATACAGGAGATAATCGTAATATGGAGATAAGTTTTATTTTCAATACGAAAAATAATATATGTATACCGCCAAGCAGTGGTGGAATTATTACATAAATTATTATTAAACTGATCGTGTCTGATTACTGTACCTGTAGTTTCTAGCGTGTGGGCTCTGCGACGGCGACGGTTTCGGAGGAGCTGGTCTGCGATGCGAGGGCTGGTGCATTGGCATATGTGCTGGCGGAACATACCGACCCATACTGCCGCTAGTGCCGTGAATGGGGACGCCATATTGCGGCATGATAGGCGCAAAAGTTGCAGTGTGCGTCTGAGGAGTAGCCACATCTTGAGCCTCACAGTTTCCTGAACCAGAGACCGGGCTCGTCTTTATGCGAGTCTGATGACGGTCTCCAGCAGGCTGTTGAGTTTGTTGCTTAACCCAAGCATCTTGGGACATCTCCATTGACAGGCCCTTAACCTGAAAGTATAACACTTTATATTAGAAGCAGCAAAGTTAATTCGGCGGCCTTTTGGTATGTTTTAGTAAAACAATAACAAACGCCATATTGGGGCGGCATAAAAAAATAATCACTTCGTCTCTCCCAATGGGCGCAGTAAAAGGTGACTTTAGTAATCCTTTTACCGACACAGATATCGTCGTCCGCAGCGATGGCAATACATATGTACTTTGATTTGTAATCGAAGCTAAGTGACGGTGCCTAATTTATATTTTTTTTTACACGACGGTGAAAAGCGAGTACACAGTCCACCTGCTGGTAAGTGGTTGATGCAGCCCATAGACGTTTACATCTATCCTTGTTTGCGAATCAAAATTCAGATGCGTTGTCAGCCGTGAAGACTAAAATTGAATGCCTCCTTTCCAGTAAAAAGGGTCACCGTTTCTCTACACTCATCATACGAAACACAGCAGCATGAAGCCGCTATTTCACGCTGGTATTCTGTGAGAGCGTGTTCCTTCCCCGGTCGTGCCGACCCAGTCGTGTTTCAACTATACAATTAATATAGCTGCAGCATGGCTCTACCACGTACAAAAATTAACCAAAGCCTCCACTAACAAGTGAATTATATACTCATCCACTGCTGACATCTGTCTTTGATCACGTTTTAGTAAGAATTTGCCTTAATAATCACGCTTGGTTTGCTGATTAGCGATCACAATACCAGACGTCTCGCTACTGCCCGTCTCCGGTCAAAGCATTTCACATCTAGTGTATACTGCTATCTACCAGTTGCCATGAATCTTTTTAGCATTTTCCATAGTCACCTCTTTCGACAGCTATGGGATGTAATGGAGTGATGGATTACCTTAAGCCACAACCACAAGGCAACCTTACTTATGTACAACCTTACTTATGTAATGTCTAGTAGAGCTCGCGGATGCCGAGACATGGTCATGGAGTCTCCCGACGACTGACGCAGCTTATGAAATATATTGTTAATGCCTGGGAGAGTTCACAAGATGGCTTAGGTATTTTTTGTGATCTTTCCAAGACTTTCGATTGTGTTCATCATGGGATATTAATCAGGAAACTACAACATTACGGTGTCAAAAATATTGCGCTTAGACTTAATATTTCATATTTATATAACAGAGCTCAAAAAGTCGTGATCAATGGTAAGGGTTCCTCCGGATCAGTAGTATCAATAGGCGTTCCTCAGGGCTCGATTCTTGGCCCATTCCTGTTCTTCGTCTATATTAATGACATATCTTATCTTGTCGGGAACAATCACGATATAGTATTATTTGCTGATGGTAACTCTTTAATGTTCATACTCAAAGGAGAGTCAATTAATTTTGACAATGTAAATAATACTCTATCGAAATTAGTACACTGGTTTAACGTGAATAATATTTTATAGGATAGGGTGACAAACGAGCACACAGTCCACTTGAATGTAAGTGGTTACTGTGACCCATAGATATCTACATCTATCCTCAATAAAGTCTCAAGATGCAGATGCGTTATCACCCGTGAGGACTCAGATGGAATGCCTCTTTGCCAGTAAAAAGAGTCTCCGGTTCTCTACACTCACCATACGAAACACAGCAGCGTTAAGCTGCTATTTTACGCAAGTTTTCTGTGAGAGTGTGGTCCTTCCCCAGTTGAGCCGACCCATTCGTGCTACAACTATACTACAAATATAGCTGCAGCATGGCTCTACCACGTAAATTTTCTCTTAAACGGCAACAAGACAAAATGTATTAATTTTACAATACCTAAAGGCATTCCATCTTAGTCCTCACGGGTGACAACGCATCTGCATTTTGATTTGCAAGCGAGGATAGATGTAGATGTCTATGGGCCACAGCAACCACTTACCATCAGGTGGACTGTGTGCTCGTTTGTCACCCTATTCTATAAAAAAAAACTAATTTTAAAAATTCAAATACCAATGTGCTCTTAAATAGGGAGGTCTTAGAGGAGAATTCAGTCTTGTGGATACTACTGTTTTTCTTGATATTACTATTGACGCGAAGCTTCAATGGGGCCCCCATATTTCTCGATTAGCAAGCAGACTTAATTCTGCATCATATGCTTTAAGAAAGGTTGGAAGTCTCACCAATGTTCTGACAGTTAGATTAGTTTATTTTAGTTACTTTCAATGCGTGATTTCTTATGGAATTTTGCTAAGGAGTAATGCGAATGACATCGAAGCTATATTTGTTTTGCAAACGAGAGCCATACGGGCGATTTATAACGTAAATTGTAATGAGCTCCTTGGAGAAAAATTTTAAGAAATACTTAAACATATTAACTTTGGGATCGCAATATATTTATGAAAATGTAATGTATGTACATAAAAATATAAATAGCTTTGATAAGAATAAAGATACTTTAAAGAATAGGAACAAACATAAGCTTGTAATACCAGTTACTAGATTCCACAGAGTTAGTAATTCATTTATGGAGCAGTTTATACGCTTTTACAACAAAATCTCAGAAAATGTACAAAATTTGTCAATAAACAAGTTTAAAAGTTTTATTAATGAAAAACCGTACAAAAAGGGTTATTATAATATCAAAGAATACATTAGTGAAAAAAAAAACTCATGGGAGTGAGGTGATCGCCACCGTGATGTTTCTATTAAAACTCATTTAAAATTTTTATAAATAAAATTATTGTAAAGTGAAATATGGTTTTTTTTAAAAAGTCATTCTGTGTTTCTTGCTGGTTCATCCCAGGACAGAGGTATATTCCGAACCAATGGTAAAAAAACAAGTTTTAATACGTATTATATCATAATCTATATTAAATAAAAATGATTATATTATGTTCTATTGGTAACGCGAATAGCATTGCTAGTATTAATCTACAAAAGAAAAAAATTACAAAAATAAATTCCTCGGATACGGTACATCTTATTAAACATCTTCCTTCCGCCAGATCAAACACACCTAGGCCGACGATGGAAGCAACATCAAAAGTGCGAGACGTCCCTATCTGCAATTCTGAATCCTTTTACAACGGGAGTGTTTTGCTCCCCATGTTTAGCTGTGAACTTTACAAGCTAAAAAAAATAAAGCAGAAGCTGCACTAAACTGATCCGAAGAAAAACCCTCGATTTTATTCCCCAATGGAACCTCTGATAAATCATAATAGGACAACACATAGATAAAATAAACAGAGCAGCAATGTGTTATTACCTGTAAATTTTCCCCACTTTTAAGGAAGCTGGAGAGGGCGTCCTGACTGACGTGCACTTCTCCTTTGTACATAAACTCGAGCAAAGCTTGCATGTTGTCGGCACTGGTAGCCTCCAAGAAAACGTAGCAAGCTCCTGCATGGCTAGGCGGGGCAGTATCGAACAGCTCCTGGAAATGCTTACTGCAAGCAGCCAGTATCACTTTATGCGCTTTGAACTGGCGACCTGGAACAAAAAAGTATTATAGGTTTAATAACAATTTTACTAATGCGAAAATATTTTACAAGACAAGTTTTATGACAAGTTAAATAATTTGTAAAAGCATTTAAGTTATAGAAGAAGCTTGGAGTATTGTTTCTATACAATTCTTTTTACATTTTAAAATTTATTATTATTTCAACGTAGTAGAGCCAACTGCAGCTATGACGACCACGCTCCCACAGAATACTAGCGTAAAATAGCAGCACAATGCTGTTGTGTTTCGTATGGTGAGTGTGGAGACCTTTTTACTGGAAGCAGGGTATTCCATCTTAGACCTCAGAGGTAACAACGCGTCTGCATTTTTAATTGTAATGGAGGATAAATGTAGATGTCTATGGGCCACAGTATCCAGGTGTATATCAGGTGGATTGTGTGCCCGTTTGTCACCCTTATTCTAAAAAAAATGTATTAATGCACAATTATAATTAAATAATTGACATAATAAACCAGCTCTGACAGCTGATACTTCAAGCTTAGTACTTGAAGTGAATTTCACAGTATATAATCAATCTAAGTTCGACGATTCTTATTTACCACATTCTCGGCGATGAAAGAAAAGATATTGACAAAACCTGTATGTCTGAAAAAGAAAATATATCGGGGACATGTGAAGTACGCCAACAGGCAATGGAGTGGAGTAATTGTTTCATCATCTACACAAAAATGAGAGGCCTGTGCCCAGTAGTAGCACGTTTTATACATATAAGCATCTAAAAAAAATGTTTGTGTGTACTTATGAACGCGCGTAAGAAGTTACACTTCTTTAGCATAACATAACTAACATAACAAAAAAAAAATAACTAAAATAAAACACGTTTAATAGATTCATATATATATTTGAATAACTACCTTGAATATAGTTATCATTACTCACGAAAACTTTGTTGAAAGTTAACAGGCAATTACCAACTGAAGTGGTCGCTTTTGGGTTTCAGTGTGCGCGCGTATCGTATCAACTTCATGGTGTCGTTTTAGGTGTCAATGTGCGAGCGCATCGTAAAAAATTCACTCTCATCATTTTTCTCAAACGCGCCAAAAGAATTATAAATTCAAGGAGACATGTATATACATAATCCTTATAATATAATAATATATAATCGTGACATAATATTATAACTGTAATATAACTATTTGAATTATAATTATATGTAAGACTATTACTGTATAATATACACATTCAAATTTACGTCAAGCGAACCGACACGACATGCGATCTGCTTATTAGCAGTACTGCCACGCGATATCCGACCTTGCATGTTATGAACTAAAATTGTAGGTATCCAATCGTAAACAAATCTATTGAAACTTAGCACCTAACAAAAGCGACACTATGAGACCCTTGAGATAAAACGTCCCCTGGTCAATGCCTTTCTAGGAATACTATGACTGTTTGATCCATTGTATTATATTTTTCAACAACTTCGTTTCACAATTCTTAATGAATCATGTTTAGTAATTGTTTTTTATAATATGCACCCGTCAATATTTTAGTATAGAATTTATCAATCACCGATGATGAGCTTGTGAAATAGCTGTTCTCGTTGGCAAGCAGATTGGTAAAAGTCGACTCGGCAGACGTTTGTTCTTTCGTTGTTCGTTCTTTGTCTAATAAAATTATGAAATATGTAATTATTATAAATTAAATCAAATATTACAAAAGTATAGGGTGGCCAAATGCCCTGTACTCGGCGGAATATTTATGCAAATTGTAGCTGACGTTGAAATCTAACATATTAAATGATTATTTGTTTTTTTTTTGTTCGTCTTTTATGTGGTTTTTTTTTACCATTCATTCGATTATAATGAAAAATATGTGATTTGTTGGGAGAAGATTTATAACAACAAGAGGCATTACAACCTAAGATGTTTTTAAATACAACGCATTAAGTTATTTTTACTTGGTAGAGCCACGTTGCAGCTACAGTATGATTGTAGCACGAAGGAGTCGGCTCGACTGGGGAAGTAGTTACCATTTGCTTCATGACCACGCTCTAACAGAATGGAAGCGTGAAACAGCAGCTCAATGCTGCTGTTTCGTTTGGTTACGTCATCTGCAATAGTTAATTTATACTGTAATATGTACAGTTATAAAAACGTTTAATATTTCTGGATTAAAGTCTAGAATAAACAAAAAAATGGGCAGGCCATTACAGATTATTCACGACGTTGATCATTTTACTAATTAACGTTAAAATGGTTACTGAACTTTATAAGCAAAAATTAGGTATTACTATAAGTAACACAAGCCATAAGTTCACTTACTTATTACTAGCTTGTTATGCATCTATGTAATGGAATTTTTGAATATGATTTTCATCCCCTTCGAAAAATTGGATTGATTTGAAACTTCGCACGCTTATCAAGGACCGATTACAATGCAATAATTTAAATAGGTTGTCCCATGAAGAGGTTGGTGCCATTATGCCTGCCAGGATCCTCATGATAAGCGGATAATTCATAAAACAACCGCAATTTCTGCCAGTTCAAATTACTGTAAGCCGTGTAAAAGAACTTCGTTCAAAAAAACACGCTTTTGTATTTAGCCGCACTAAAAAATAGAAAATTTCATAAACTAAAAAACACGCTTTTGTACATAACTGAACTAAAAAGTAGAAAATAAGTTTCAATAAGTTTAAAATAAAAAATAGTAATTAACATAAAAAAATAATTTTATTGTAAAAAAGCGTGGGGTGCTTCATGTAAAAATATTTTTGTGGATATTTGTAAAATTAGGGTCATCATAAAAGTATCTGCAACACCAGGGGAATTGCGGCCTTTTAAAAAGGAGTACGCTCTTTTCTTGAAGGTCCCTAAGTCGTGTCCTGAAACATTTCTGCCGGTAGTCGATTCCACAAGGAAGTTGTGCGAGGAAGAAAGCGTCTTTTAAATTGCACAGTGGTGGACGGTATTGCGAGTATTGTCACGATGTGCGATGGTGAAATTTTGTGGCTGAAATTAGTCCGAACAATTCTTCAGATCACTCCCCGTGGTAAATGCGATCAAATACGCAAAGAGATGTAACATCTCTTTGTAGCGTCAGTGAATCAAGCCGATCGATCGGAAAGAGTTCGGTCGCTAACGAATCGAGCGGCTCTGCGCTGGATGCGATCAAATGGAAGTAGCTGGCACTGGGGAGCCCCAGCCCAGAAATGGGAACAGTATTCCATGTGCGACGGAACCTGCGCTTTGTAAAGTTGCAAGCGGTATGCCGGTATGAAATACTGTCCCACTCTGCTGAGCACACTAAGCTTTTTAGAGGCCAATTTGGCCTTCTCTTCCAAGTGACCACGAAACTGCTCATCACTCGATATGTCGACACCGAGGATTCCGATACTAGCGGAGGCAACAAAGAGTGTGCCTTGAAACTGAGGAGATACGACGAAGGGGTTCTTTTTAGCGGTAAACGCGCAAACTTGTGTCTCCTGGGGATTGAACTGGACTAGATTTAGTTGCCCCCAGTCCGAGACTTTGTTCATCAAAGTCTCGACTGCAGACACAAGTTTGTCCCGGTACTCGGCGACGTTTTCCCGAGAAATATTGGTACGGCCGGTGTATAGAGCATCACCAGTGCTGTCATCCCCATAGCAATGAATGTTACCCGTATAGTAGCTTCTTTATAAGTATATATTGACATACGAACTTGTTGTGGACATTTCACTTGATATCAATGTTTTACGTATAAAATACATAATTGGATGCTTTATAAAAAATACATAAAAACAAATTACCAACATAACAGGAAGCGCTACTCCGTCAAGGTTGCGGCATCGCGCATGCGGCCGCGCTTGCATCAAAGTGCCTCGCCGAGCATTGCTCGCTTAGTCGATTACTCAATAGTTCCTACACTGTTCTCATATTTTCCTAAATTCAAATGACGTAATGGAGCTTACAGTTTAGAGACAAATATTATTTTCACATTTAAAATGTTTGGCAATGTTACTTTTTACTTTTAACTAATGGAATAAAATGTAGATATTAGTTTTTAATTCTTTTATATTTTTGAACACTGACATCACGGTTTTACTGGAAAAGAGGCATCTCATCTTAGTCCTTACGAATGACAACGCATCTACATTTTGATTCGCAAACGAGGATAGATGTAGATGTCTATGGGCCACAGCAACCACTTACCATCAGGTGGACTGTGTGCTCGTTTGTCACACTATCCTATAAAAAAATAAAACAGTAGTTAGATCCAAATAGCTCACAGAAAATTGAAGACTTATTTGAAAGCAAGTATAGTAAAAATGTATATTTTACTGTATGAGCTGGCTCAATGATATTTTAGGTAAACGCCTTTTTACTTTTTAAATAATCGGGCGGGCCGTATTAATTTAGTGTCTCTAAAACTAGTTTTAGTTTTTTTACTGATTTGATGTGTAGCATTATATGCATCATAGAGCCACGCTTAAGCAAGTAGAGTACCGTTCGGTACCTAATTGTGTAGTATCGAATGTCCAAAATCATTCTCTTTTAGAAATTCTACCAGCGTTAATCTATAGCCAACGTTTCATATTTATTTTGGAGAATCGTATGTAATTTATACATAGTATATATAATATATATTACAGTCTATTTACGTCCCACTGCAAGGCACAGGCCTCATCTCATTTCTGAGGAGGTTTTAGGACAAGGAAATGTTCGCCGCACTGCCCCAATGGCTTCTTGGCAAACTTCACATTTGTTTGAAATTTGTTTTCTTATTTCTCAGACATGCAGGTTTCCTCGCGTTGTTTTCGTTCACCGGTGAACACATAGTAAATCAGCACTTAAAATTGCAATTAATAATTTTATTGGTGCCGACGGGGATCGATCCCGGGATGCTCTCGTACTGTGAAATTTACAGCGAGCGAGATTTATATTTATTTGTTGTTTATTGTAAACGCCTTAATCTAATAGCACTCTTGCAGCATCCATCTTATCCTGTAGGACTCGTAAAAAGTGGAAAATTTTGAGTTATTATC